AAAGCTGTTTCGATTACAGCAGCTGTGACGTCAGTTATGTCACGTCTGATCAATTTTGAAGCAAAATAATTATCTTCTTAAATACTACTGTCTGGGGGACATTTTTTAGTTAAAAATTATTCTTGCATGAGTTGACGCAGAAGAACTCAGGCCACTTAGGCTCTGGTTTTCACATTATTGAGCATGAAAACAGATCTTGTAGTTTTAAGTATTTCAACATTTATGCTAGGCTGCTTTGGAGACATAAGATCACTTCAAATTACGTTTAGGTAACATGGAAAATAAACTATCATAATTGGACAACAATAGGATAATGACACCCTAATCGTAGGAAAAAATGCCATAATAACAAAAAGATATGGGTCTTGATGACAAAGACCACTTTAAGAAGGGAAGTCGATTTATTCGCATTGGCCGTTTTCACGACGGAACTTTCGCAGAGGAACTTATTTAATACCTAAAAAGTACCTACCCTTTGAGGCCTTAACATCCCTCAAACTGAAATATTTTATGTTCAAAATAATTTTAGAAGTTTAAATCCGGGCATTTTTTGCCCTCAAATCACTTATTTATTTACAAACACAGCAATTTTTGGTTCTAGTAGCCCACCTTTCGACTATGAGGTATCAAATCAGCGTGGCAACTTTACTCCCTCGGGTATCTAATTCCGGAATTCTTAAAAACAAGGAAAGTATATATCGAGCTTTCTTTTATGCCTATTGAGTTATGTTTTAATGGTGATTAAAATATGGCAAATTTTTTAATTACATTTCACATAAGAAAAACACGCAAAACAATGAAACAAAAATAACTACGGTGGAAATAACCAATCAGCACCTCAGTAGGATATGACGTCATACAAGAATGGTGTTGAAGGCCGTTTGCAGTCCCGGCCGGTAGGTCACGTGACCGCCGGGAGCCTCGGGTCACGCGGCGGTCGGGAGTCGGACGCGGGACGTGGTCGCGGGTGGACGCGCGGGGCATCATGCTTTGCTTTGCTTGCTTTGTCAACTTAATATAACTTACGATCGCATACGTGTGAAACCCAAACACTGCTCAGTGCCCTTAGAAATTGAGTTTTGGAAAGCTCAAGTCCCTATAGCTCCTCAGGTCGGCAACAGTTGAAGCCTCATCTGGACTAGTGAAAAAAGCGAGGGTAAGGAACCTTGTGTTGCTTTTTCTTTTACCGTTATAATTATCTCAAACCATCACAATTTTGAGTTGCCACATTGTCTGGTTCACTACATTCGTGTAAAACTTGGTGAAGGCTGGTGGCTCAAAGAAAGGTGAAGATATTTCTTTAAGTGCCTAATCCGTGAAATATCCCGGCTTTACAAATCTACACTTTTCATTTTTTCCACGATACATTTTTTAAAATTGTTAAAATTTATTCAACATTTGTTAAAAGGGGCTTTGGTTTGGTGTAAACTAGATCAAAAAGTTTACTATAGTTTTGTGCAAAACCTGGTGGCTGAAGAAAATAGTAATTTTGCTAAAATGATGTGCGGAAATTTGTTGCTTTCCAATTTCCAAATCAAATTACTCATACCTATATTTCATTCAAAATTAGGAGGCATTATTACTGTTTTTTCTTGCAACATGAACTGAGTTTGGGTGCAGTGCTCCGGAAACGTTGTGGAACTTTAAGCTAGCTAGAGCAGTTTCCATAAAAATTGCTTAGATAGTTGACATGGCATGTTGACAACGGTTTTGCTGTTTCTAAAAAAGTGAAAAATATTTTCCTGCATTAAACAGACAAGGCATGTTATTCTCATAAGCTATCGAATGTGTGTGCGTGTGTGTGTTTTTTTAAGCTGTCAATTGTAACTTCAGTTACTTCACTTTAGAACATATTGCCCAGAATGCGTCACTGATCATGAGCTGGTATATCATATCATATGTAGCAAATACATAAATGGGAATAGTGTGTCATGAATTTTTGTGCATGCTTCTGGATCATCTGTAATTACATCAAAGGCTCGGCTCAAGAGTGTCCTGCCGACCAGCTTATGCCCAACCCTTTCTGTCCGCAGAACGTCTTCCGTCGCCTGCGACTCCCGCACGCCGTTTGCGCCCCGGCCGTCCGTACCGGTCTTCGCGCTGCGAGCCGCGCTGCTGGAGTTCGCGGCGCAGACCGGTACGCGGCGCAGACCGGTACGCTGCTGGAGTTCATACCCCCTGCATGGGTCCGCTGTCCGGCGCAGCGCTGGCCGCCCGCATGTTACGTTTGGCTGTATCGCTGCCCAGCGGGAGCGCGCTCCACGCTGCGGTAGAGGCACACGTTGCGACCCGACTGAGGACCGCAACCGGATGGTGAGACGTCGGCCTCTGCGCCCTGGCCGGGGTAGGCGTGACCGACGTCACAGTGGAGGAACACCCAAACAAGACCAGCCCACCGTCGGAGCAGCATGGAAATATCATGTTCTGCCTGGACGTCGAACCCGGCGGCCGCAGAGCACCTGCACACGTGCGGAGAGGGGCGCTGGAGGCGCGGCTTCTGACATCCCGCGGCGCGGCTGCTGGCAATACCTGACAACGGCGACAATGGAGGCGGTTGGGAACAGCTGCAGCAATGGTGATGGCGGTGATGGCGACATGGCGGTTTGGGACTTCATCTCAGCGCGGCCGCCGCCCAGACGCCGCTGCGCCCGGCTGCTCAGCCACCTACCGGATGGCGGGGTGGCCCTTACGGCCCTCACGCCCGTTCGGTCTGCGGCCACGTTCTGGGGTGGCCGTCGCGGGGTTAGCGGCGTTGGACTTCGTCCTTTATCCAGACTGCACCGTACCATCTGAACGGATGGATCTGCCAAGAAAGATGACATCCAAGGCGGCTATGAGGCGATCACAAAGCTTCAGCAAGAGCTTCTCCTTCATGGGGCCGGCCGGCCGTTAAGTCGCAACACCGGCTGCCGAGTGCCAACAGCTGCGTGCGCTGGCGCCGACGCGTTGTGGGCCGCGCTGCTGACGCTCAAGCTGCGATATCAACCATCTATGAATAAGTGGCAGCGGTGGCGGCTTGTCAGTTGTTAACGTGCCTTTGCAGACGTTGTGAATAGCCCGCGTTGGAATCGCATGGTTGGCAACACCACGCAAGCTAAAATGGGCTTCCTTGATGAACCTACTTTTTAAGCATTGTAGCCTTTGTAATTTTTGATGTTTTGCTGTAGGTATTATTTTCTACATATATACTATATAGGCACTCACGTGCTTTGAATCGCGCAATGCAATTGAACCATGGTAAAGACAATGATAAATGAACTGAGAGCTGACATGCCCCATGCTTTGTGTGAGTGTGTGTGTGTTTTTTTTTTTTGGCGAGTCGATAAAAGTGGTTCTGGACACTGGATGAGTTTTTAGGGGTGTGGTGAGGGGGAATGTAATTCCACAGACCTTTTGTCAGATTCACCAATGCAGTAGGTCTGTGCGGTATTTAGATATCGGAGCATTCTTTGAAAGTCGTGAATAGGGCAACTGAGAACCTACCTATAGCCGTGATATCCCCTCACAAAAACTTCTTTTAAATAACCGGGGATAAGTACATAAGCAGAGTAATTGCTATTACGAACACCTAGGTATCACAATGCTGAGCGAATAGGAAAATCTATAGATGGAGAATTGTGCCGCGTTACGGGTGCTCGGGCGCAGCCAATCCAGCGTTACCCCAGCGGTGACCTTGACCCGCATCGTCTGTCTCGGCTCCAAAGCCAAACCGGCGTGGAATTGGGAGCGCTCGAGCACTCATGTCCAGCGCAATTCTCCACCTGAATCCATTCCTGATACACATTTGCTTGCTCATAGTCATGTAACCCCGGTAAATTCATCTAACTTTCATATTGGTCGCTCCATAGACAGATGGCCACAGATATCAACTTAAAAGGCCATTGTTGCATTCATTTAGTGGAGATCATTAAAGAGCCGTGATAGGCCACAAGTCGCGTGACATCATACGTGTAACAACCAATGACGTCGGCCTGCAAAACCCAATGGAAGCGGCTAGCAGCGTGCAATAAAACAGGGCGCTGCTTTCTAAATGTCTGTCGTGCGCCATAAATGAATATATCTTTTGTAGTGTGGCAACTCAGTATCTTTTTTTAACTATTGTACTAGTATTTAATAATTTCATAATTTTATAATTGTGCTTACGCTTTATGTTGATGTTAGTGATAAATCCTTAGATAAAGTAAATCGATGTGATATTTAATAGAAAAATAGCAAACTAACGCGCCATTCATTCGAAAGCTGGTAAACCTACTAAAAAGAACTACTAAAATTCCTGAGGAACCAAAGGATTATATTGGTATCAAATAGATGCCTGCTATTCCGTCGTGAAAACGGCCATTATGCATTTTAGTTTTGACTCAAATACTTATTCCGAATAGGAAAACCAATTAAATTATCGTTTTATTTCATAAAACATTGGTGTTCTCAAACTAAAACATCTTTCCATTGTTCGGTCGGCCTCTTTCGGTTTACTGAGGACATTTCCGGGCAAGAAAATAAGAAAATGGGGTAAAATATCGGGCTGGTATGAGCTCCGACTGATGCACCGTAGCCACTGAACTTATCGCGATGGAATCCGAGTCAGAGCAAGAGCCAGAGTGTCTGTGGAAAAGGCCACCAGATACTTCAACGTTCACACTATAGAGGCACATGCTTCTTTCGGATCTGCCCTCCCCCAATTGTCTGGTTCCGAGATGTCGGTCACCCGATAATCGATTGGCCCACCGGTCAGTGAGGGCATTTTCTAAGGAAAACCAAACGAAAATACCCGTAAGGGGTGACTGTACGAGATGATCAGTGGTTGTGTCACCGTGGTACGATAGTCTAAGGGATGGGTTCAGCTGATGCAGCGCACCAGCAAGTGGTCGATTCAGTCCTAAATTTCTCCGCTTATCATTTAAGCCCAGGGACTAAAATGTCCTAATCAGATCAAAAGGGCCTAGCCGGACAGCAAATACAGGCGCCTTATCCTCCCATCGTTCTACTTTGCCCCCACCTACCAGCGTCGGTGTGTCGGCCGCTGCGGCTGCCCCCTCGCCGGGCCGCTAGACAAGTGTCGGACGGCCAGGGGGTCGACGCTTCGCTCCTTCTGTAACCAGGCTGGTAGGCAACAACAAGAACCCGCCACACTGCGTAACCAAGCCGGAACGAGACCGACAGGGTGGTGGTCGCGCATTGGCCACTGTAGACGCAGGCGCGCTTGGTATTGCAATGGAAATTTTTATGCATATAAAAAAGCTCAGCCGCTTCAGTTTAACGTTTTTTCTTCTTCTTTTGATACGAAGTCCTACCAAATCAGTCCAAACCTTGTCCCGTTCTTATTTGGTTTTGGATTCATATACGCCTTACTGTTCTACTGAATAATTCAGCCTATTCCGTTCCATGCAATAACTGCTACACCGTGACAATATGAATGTTTTACCTGAAGCGACTACGATCATTAAGCTTTTGATGAAGATGACATGTCTATTTTTACCCGAGTAACAGAGGTAATTAAAGTGAAGTAGACAACGGTGACAAGTCCTGCATGTTTTCATGTGGTGGTAGGTGTTGGTTATTGTAAGCCGTCCGTCCTATGCCGTCCAATGATCTGCTCACATTAAAAAAATTGGTCCGAACTCCGAACCTTTTGAATGGAAGGATTCACAAAGACATAGCCCCCGCTAAGCGAAGCTTGATGCGTTGACCCTGTCCTCTACCCTCCGATCGCGCAATTCCGGTACTATGGCAGACTTAGGAGTCCAAAGTTAAACGTGCGCACATAGCCACGCACGGCCGGTCCCCTCCCTGACTTCGTCTGGCTACAGCCTGTCACCAACCCCAGCCATACCTGTCAGGAGGCTCATAAACGTCAAGCGCCCGTCGCGCTTCGAACCCGGACTTTTGTGACCGGGACGCGTGCTCTTACCACGAGGAGTCCAACTCTCTACCGACTGAGCTATGGGACCGGCGATGGTTAGTAAGATTTGGTTAGTAATTTTTCAGAAGCGAACAATCTATGTATAGATTCGACTCTGAGGTTTTCCCGTAAATAAAGAAGAGATACTAGCAATCACACAGTTTTAGCGTACATAAATGTCGTGGAACTAACTAACTACATGAGATGGCACTACAAGCATGTTAGTGATTATCAAGTTTCAAACTCAATCGTAAAATCACTGCCGAGTTCATCCTCAGTAAATTGTTTGTATAGATACGAACAGCCTCTACACAGCCTCATCCAACAGTGCGTGCTTGTGGCACGCACACATCGCTATCGTGACTTCCTGACATGCATTAATTCACTCGGGTAAATCACGATTGCGACTTACTCACAAGTGTAAGTGTGTCGGAAATCGGTCCTTGTCACACAACAGTCGCCGGGTGGCAGCCGAGTGCCGGGTGGTCCTGTGGCACGCAATCCCCAACACCTGTTGACATTACCTCTGAGCCCCTCGTGTTGGCAGGGTGTGTGGAAATTCAGCGCCGACTGCATGACATGATGGATGACGTCACAGGTCAACTATGGAACGTAGACTAACAAAACGTCCGTCATCCATTTGTGAGTTGAGGTAGTTTGAAGTGGGGGCGTGTAGGTGGCAATAAGAAAGTTTGCAAGTTAGATACATAGGCGTGCATTTGCGGCGGTTAGAGCCAGCATTTATGGGTAGCACAGCTACGCAATTTGTTAGTTGATTGAGTGCAAAGTAAGAAAGCTTAGCAAAGTTTTGCCATCGTACTAAAGTACATACATAAGAAGCAATCTATTTGTCTTCCATGTAGATTTGCGGTGCCTTATGCCTCATAAGCGTGATAAAATTTTCATGTGTGCGTGTTTGAGATGTTTGAAAGCTACTTACCTACCTTATGCGGTCATATTTTATGGCTCTTGTGCGAGTTGATGCTGTGGCTACCTGTGGCGCAGTTTAGCAAGGTGCAACGGTGCATTTTGAAGCCGAATAAAATATCCTCGCTCGTAAACCTCTGTTGAAATGCAAGTTATGGTATGTGGTAAAAGCATATTTTGAAACTTTGTCTTACAACATTCAGCTTCGCATTGATTCATCTTTTATGCTAAGTGACCATTTCTCATTGACTAAGGTCGTTAGGTATACTACCGTTCAATATCTTAGTAGAGGTACACTGAAAAGCGATAAAACATTGGTTATGTAATAATGACTTTGTTATGAGTTGTAACATTTTAATCAAGAAATTTCGCCGATAAAATATGATTTCAACAAAAGACAAAAAACATTACAAATACTTAGATGAAACAATCATTTGAATTTCCTTCTCAAATCAATGTGTTTAACTCGAGTTAGGTTAGGTATAAATTACATTGAATAATGAATATTGTTCATTGCAATGTTTCCGATGGCCCTGCTCTATCAAGTGAGGCAAAAACATTCATTTCATCGTGTCAGCGTCCATCAAAACTAAAAACATGGCCTTTGTCGAAAGCCATTGGTAGCTCAGGGCTGAAATGTGGCTAATTAAATCATTATTTTCAACCACCTGCCAGAGAAACTACCGAGGGCAAATGGCAGCCTTTTGAGTTCAGGTTTCGTTGAGGGACGCAGCTGGTGATTTTCGCCCTGTGAGGCCGCACGTCTGCCGTCCTCTGACCCGGCGTTACAGTGTCTCCTCGGCAGCGGCACGGACAGGGACGTCGCCGTGTTACGGCCAGGGTGACAGTCCTCGTATTGATCCAACAAACTGGCCAGCCGAGCTCTGCACCGTCGTTCAATGTCCTGCGGAGTGGCAGACAATGTCGTGCCGTGCCCCACCCCGCCCCGCCCCTTCTGTGCCTCCATGGGGCAGGTTTCGACCTCGAACTGGCCAGATTTGTGTGGCCAGCCGTTACCATAATAACGAAATCAATACATGCAACAAAAGGCCGCCGACCGGGCCGTCGTAAACGCCAAACAATCGGCGCATAATGACACGGCAATCTGCAGCCGGCTGCCCGACTCTTTCGAAAACAGCCTGGCCACGGTCGAAAGGGTCCGTTTTTATTTGATTGGGCTACCCTTGAACGATATTGAATCACTGAACTTATTAGCAATCTGTGGAGAAAGGATTGTGATCTGTGATAAAGAAGTGATTGCTATGCGCATGAAATCTGCCAGGATCATAGCATTTACGAAAAACAAAAATAGACTTATTAGATGTATCGATGTTATAGATTAGTTGGAATGCATAGCGCTGTTTTTAATTTCCCTTAACCCGGTAAATGGTCAGGAGCTAGGTCGATCATGTTTACCGAAAGGATGTGTGTCTGAATGTTAGCACTATGACATATACGACGCATATGACATATACGAGAAGTTGGATTCGCCGTGCTTATCTTAACCCTCGCCGGACCTATTGGTTTTCTACATACGCGCCGGCCGAGGGGGGGGGGGCGGGTACGACCCCCCCCCCTCGCCGTTTCGCCCCTGGTGGAGCTAGCGCGTCGCGGAAAAAACGAGCGTGTGCGCCGTTACGAGACGCAGAGATTGGTACCCGATTTTAAGGTCCTAGGTCAACCGGTGACCTCTGAGGTCAGGTCAAGTGCCCCAGGGTACGGTTCAGTTTTTGGTGAATAACTTCGCAAAAAAAACGGCCGCAGAGCGCCGATTTTGGCAGCATCGTGTTCGCCTCGCTCAAGCGCGTCGAATGATATACTTTTTGTCCGGGTCAGGTCAACTTGGGGTGTTGACCTCAGGTCAAGGTCAGGTCAGCACCCCCAGGTCACGAAGTTGGTCGAAAGAGGTCATGTCGCATATCATTCGATTTGGCAGGCCTTCCTGAGTCCATTGGTGCCTTTCCCGACTCGCTAGCTCAATTTGATCAAGAGTTATTGACGAAAAACTAATTTGACCTTGATGACGTCATAAATGACGTCACGCAAGGTCAACATTGCAAAAGTGACGCATCTAACCTTGCAAGGAGTGCATCAAATCACGATTCTGTGTGCTTGAGATAGTTAGAGATCGTTCCCGGCGCCAGAATAGCAGTTTGAATTTTTCCCCATTGACTTATAATGGTGAGGTCACGAAAATGACCTGACCTCATATGACCTTTAGGAAAAATCCGAGATATACAAGTTGTGGGACTCATAATGGATACTAGATCCTGCAAGTTTCATTTCCCTGTGACATCTCCTCTGGCAGTGAGGGCGTTGCGAAGTTGCGACATCTGAAGACCGTGCAGAGGTTCACTTATGACGTCATAGGTCAGTGACCTGACCTGACCCAAAAATGCGGTTGGTGTCAAAAGATCCGGCTTGGATCAAAGGTCAGGTATGCCAAGTTTCAGCTCTCTATCGCCAGCGTGTTCGGAGCTATCGCGAAAAAACCCTATGGGGGGGGCGGCACCCGCCCCCCCCCCCCTCGGCCGGCGAGGGTTAACCTTCAAATTTTCAGCGCTCAATAATTCACTTTTATGGGTAGCATAAATTTGTGAAAAAGTTCGATATTCAATATTTGTTGCTATTTGCTGCTTATATATTTTGTCATCATCTATCTACATGCCTAGCTTTAATAAAAAGTGGTGAAATAGGGAGGAAAATTTATTTGCCCCAACAATCAATGCTAGTTCGATAATGGAAGCAACTACCAAGTTACCTGAAAACCGTAGAAAAGTAAGACTTTTACTGAAAACGAATGAGGTTTTATAATAATGTGATAATTCTATCAAATCTGTCATGTAGCTCAGTTGGAAGAGAAGAGCCTTAGGCTACCGGTGGTAAGAGCCCGGGTTTGAGTCGATCCGGCGCTCGATTTACGAGACTCTTGACGGAAATGATCTACCGGGTTGGTGAGAGCGACCGCAACCAGTTGAAGTTAATTGAGTGCGCCGGACCACATTTGGCTTTGATGGACTCGCTAAGTCTTATCCTGCGCATGACTGGGGGGCTCTACAGAGCCCCTTCCCATTTTTCGGCAATATCTTCCAAACCGTTCAACGTATCAACACGAAACTTGACGTACAGCCCACCGCTAAAGTAATGTAGGGTTTTACCAATCTCAACGGTTGGCTTTGACTGGCGATTGTTTAATGCGGAGTGATCGAAAAGAAGATGTCAATAGCTA